TGCTGTTGGTAGAGTTCTGAATGTAGGCCAGTCTCACTGGAGTTAGGTAGGATCTCAATGTGGTTTTCATTTGTATTTCCCTGACAGCTAGGGAGCTTGAACATTTTTTATATGTCCATTAGCATTTGAATTTGTTCTTTTGAAAAATGCTCCTTTGCTTGCCCTTTCCTTCATTGGGTTGTTCTGTTATTGAGTTTCTGAAGCCCTTTTGTAAACCCTGGATATTAGTGCCCTATCTGTTGTGTGTGTGCAAAGATTTTCTCCCATTCTGTTGGTTGCTTCTTCGTTGATCATTCCTTTGCTGTACAGAAGCTTCTCGGGTTGACGTAGCCCCAGTTGTTTGTTTTGGCTTTGACTGCCTGTGCTTTTGCTGACTTTTCTAAGTCTTTCCCAATGCTTCCTATGTCCTCCTCTAAGGGTTTGATGGTTTCTGGATGAAGGTTTAGGTCCATTTAGAGCTGATTTTTTTTATAAGGTGACAGGTTGGGGTCTTAGCTTCTTACCTCTGTAGGCTGCTATTCAGTTGTCCCAACAGCATTTGTTGAGGAGATCAAACTTGAACCCTCAACACACTTAAATGCCATAATGTTGGGCTTGGCTGTTGTTAAAGGACTACACTATTGTAATAATATGAGGGAAAAAGTAATAGGGAGCCAGAGGAGAATCCCTATACATACAAAAGCATATCATGGAATATTTCTTTTTAATTATCATCAGAATGGACCTACCATTATGGAAGTGCAAGATACACATAATTTTGTTTTCAGAAATTGCCTTTGGTCTAGCTTGTGTATTGTCTCTTTAAATACAATAAGAAAATGCTCAATAATCTCCAAATCTGAAATCTTCATCTATGTTATTGCTTAAGCTTCTTTTTCTCTTTCCTTTTTTAAAATTTATTAATATTTTGACAATCTTTAATTAGGGTAAAAAGATACCCTCCCCAGGTCCTGGATATAGGGTATGCTCTGAGGTTCTTGCTCAAGTGGATTTTTCAACAACTATTCCAAGCACTCCTCCTCACTGAGGGTTCCTTGCCTCTGTGTACTGGTTATTTTTACCACAAGCTCATCTTTTGTGGGAGCTGTCTGAGCAGTCTGGGTCTGCTCCTCCATGGTGTGCATGTGTCATGGGGTGGGGGTGTTTGTGCCCAGGTGTCCAGGGACAGCATCAGTTTGGGCAGTGGTTCATGGAAACTCCCACGTGATAGGAGTTTGTTTCAAGTCCTCAGGCGTGCTCAGCAGCTTTGGTTTATTTTCGTCTTCCCACCCTCTAGAGAACTCTCCTGGCCGTCCAGTAGGAGTAGGTAACAGTATGCACTGATTCTAAAATGTATCCTTATCTGGGTTCCTTCTGTTGGAACTAGTGGCATTAGTCATTTTTCTGTTATTGCGATGTGGTGTTTGAGGCGGCTAACTTTATCAATAGAAAAGGTGCGTTGAGCTCACAGTTTTGGACTTCAAGGCCAAGGTCAGGTGGTTCCACTGGTTCGGCATTTGGTGAGCATGGTGGATTACAACAGTGGACGGAGCGTGATAGGACAACATGGTTAGCCACAAAGCCTAGGGGGGTTTGGCCAGCTCAGGCTTCTGTAGCAAACCTGATCTTCCTGAAGAACCCCCCAAATTACTCCACTAGACAGCACCACCCTGGGGAGTGAGCCTGTTGGGGAGTTCGGAAAGTCAAGTGAATGTCACAGAAACACAGTGGTGCAAAGGGGTCAAGGAAAGGATGATTTAGGGTCCTGAGCTTTGCCATCTATTCCTTCACACACAGAACGCAGTGTTTTCTAACATGACAGACGCTGTCAGCCTCCACGGCCTGCTCATGTCTCCAGTCATCATCTTTCACTTAGATCTTGGCCTAACATCATCTAACCAGCTTGTACTGTGTAGTGCTTTTAAGGAAAAACTTAGATATCTAGTTTATCCAATGATTTCAGCAGTCAGAACATGGTCTTAACACAGCCCACCACACCTCTTGAAACCAAAGACCTGCTTCTCAACCTTAGCTGCTTCTATAATGCCCATGTTACTGTGGCTTGTTTTACTTTTCAGTGCTTTATCCCCAAATCCCAGGATTTCTTTTAGCCAGAGAAGGGCTGAGTGTAGACAGGGAGCTCATCGGAGCCTTCTGTGACCTGATCTTCTCCTGTGATGCCATCCAGGCCTCCTGCAGAGATGCCCCAGACAGGGCAGGACACCTTTAGTCTTGCTTGTCTATAGAAATTGGTAACATTGGAGAATTCTTCTGCATTGAAGCCTAATGCAGAGAGAGGAGAGACAGAGCCATCTTTTAGCCCAGTGGTGAAGGCTGTGCCAACCAAAGCAGGAGCTCCTTCCGGGTCTCGCATGAGTTCCCAGCCATCCTCAGCTGCTTTGCCAGAGGCATTAGCAGGGAGCTGGACTGGAAGTGAAACAGGCAGGATTTGAACTGGCGCTTCTTTGGCATGCCAGTGCTGTAGGTGGCAGCCTAACCTGATAAGCCACAGCAGTGCCCTGACATTTCCAGTCCTCTTTTTTAAAAATCAGATGAGCAGAAAAGTGAAGGAATGAGAAAACCCTATTCAATAGCATACCTTGGTTGTCTTCTTTAAGTAGGAGGAATGGTTGAAAGGTGAGAAGAAAAATGTTTACCATCTTCATTCCCTTGCTTAAAATTCCTCTGGCATGAGTAACCTGGTATGGAGCCCTGCTTTGCTCCATCCATGTCATCCGTTGTGGCCAAACTGAGCTTCTCTGGGAAGGTTTTGACAAAGGCAGCATAAAAAGCAAGGCCCAAAAGGGAGCACCCTTCCCACTAGAGTCGAATGGGTACAGCTGGAGCTGCTTGCGGAGGATCCAAAGAGTTCCACCGCCCCTGGCATGTCTCTGCAAAACGAGGCCACATCCCCTTGGACCAGCTCTGCAGTTCCACAGCCACTTCATTTGAGGCCTGCCAGGAAGCCAGCTTCCAGTCCAACAACATCTTTGCCTAGGCTCTGTTTTGTGTTTCCACCCATAGTGTGCCCTGGCGTGACTGGAGGGAGCAGACAGGGCCCCGTGCTGTCCCCAGGTCTGAAGTCACAGCTTGTAGTCAACATAACCCAGTCAGGCTTCTGTTTCCGTGGTAACCTGGTTCCCACCTTCTAAAGCAAGACGTGCCTGAGTGTGATTAATGATTCAGCAGGGACATAAGCACGAATTATGAATGTCCCAGGGAAACCTGGGTAAATGACCAACCTAATTAGCTCCTATGTTCCTGTGATAAATGCAAATATATTATGACATACTGTAACATATACACTGCCTTTTCTCCTTTGCAGTAAAAACCTGACATTATCTTTATTGCCAAGACTAAATGTTTAGTCATACTTAGCAGCACTTTGTAATGAATTATTTAATCCCCAATGACTTTGTATTTTATGGGCTGTGTATTCATGTTTCTTGCTCATAATTTTTGGCTCCTTTATAGGAAATGGAGTCTGCCTAGCTTTATAACCCAAGGTTTGTTGGAAGAGCTGTGGGGTGGTCCAGCACCCCAAGAGTTACTGTGACACTTCTCCCCAATTAGCACATGCCAGGCCCCACATCCTGCTGGGCCTTACTCCTCGCTAAGGGGCCACCGCTATCATGCTCCACAGCTCCCTAACACTTGCATAGGAGAAAACTGGTGTAATGAGTTCCTCTCCAGGCTGTTCCCACCCAGCACATTTGACACACAGCCGTGGCTGGCATACCTCTGTGTTGGTGCTCTAGTTGCAGAAGGTCTTAGAAGCGTGGCGAGGCCTGTGGCAAGTTCAGCCTCGTTGGAGCATTCCTGCAGCCTAGAGGGCTGTCTCCGACAGTGATGAGCTGATTCATGGCTTGTTCCCTTGTCTTCCTGTAGACTTTCTGAGCCTTCATGAGGGCCACGGAGAAGGCAGCCCTCCATGCCCACCTACACTGAAGGAGCCTGTCAGACTCAACAGGGTCAGAGTTGTATCCAGTACCTACTCTCTTCCTTTGGCTTGCTTCAGTTGTGTTTCTCACTAGAAGATAGGGGGCATGAAGGAACACTGCTGTTCATTATCTGAGTCGGGAACATTTTATTGGCTGGGTCTTATTTCCTTCCCTTTTCTGGAAGAAAGTGAGGGTCAGAAAGGTCGAGTGACTCGTGCAAGTCTCTAAGCACCTGGTAACTTCCTGACGGGCTGTAGTTAAGATGCACAGAACAGCGGAGATCAGAAACGAACTCCTAGCCAGAACAATTTATTGAAGAGAATCAAATTCACAGCTGTGACCGACTGCCCACGGTATATGGAGCTAGCAGGTGGTAGAGGCCCTGGTCTCCAGCAGGCAGTGGGTGGAGCTGAGGGGGCCTGTCAAACTCAGGGCACCTTTTCTCCAGGTAGTTGCCAAGGAACACAGGCAGGGGTGAGAGGCAGGGGTCTGGGCTGGGGCATCAGTCCCTGAGCGGGGATGGAGGTCGCCTCTTTCCCAGCAAGGAGTAACACTGGCTGAAGCTCACGTCCCTGGCAGCCCAGTACCTCCCAGAACTTCCTGACTGGGTTGATGTGTGTCTCTGAACTAGACACAGTGGTTCAATGGAGGAACTTTCCTGCACGTATCTCTGCCTTCATTGACCCTGCATGCATGGACAGGCCTCATCAGGCTAACCCACCCCCTATTGGAGGATTCCGAAGAGGTGGTTCTGGGAAAATGGAAGAAATGGACCAACTTCTTTAAAAACAGGAAGCCTGGGGGCATGGAAGTTACATCCCCTCCCCAGGTAGGGACACTGCCAGAGGAACACCCCTGTGGTGACTGTCCCAGCCGTGGAAAACACCGCTAAATATTACACAAGCTTTAGTCCAGAATGGTAAGCAAGGCCAGCTCCTACCTGTGTGGCGGGAGGACTGTGTGACAAGTGCAGCCTGTGTGGCACGGAATCTTCTGGACTTCCAGCCCCAGCTCCACAGCAGGAGGTCCACGCAGCATGCACAGAGCAGGGCTCAGGCATTGTCCGTGTGTGTGTTGCAGGGAACGCCGAAGCCCAGCCCTCCTCAGAGACCCCTGCCCGCGGACCCTTTGAGCAGGACGGCACGGCTCCCCGGCGCCTCAGCAAGGGCCCTGGCACCCCACGAGCCTGTGTGCCACGCTGCGCCTGTCAGGTGAGTCTGTTACTACTCCTGACTCTCTCCCTCCTGTTTTTATTGTTCTTTCTTTCCTTAGGCTCTGGGTCCTTTCCTCCCTGCTTTTCTGTCTGTTGCCCCGTGTATCTATCTCCTTCCCTTCTACACACTGGAGGGGCAGCTGAGTTAACCCAGGACATGGTAATTACCCATGCTGCCCTGAAGCCCTTGAGCGGGAGCACCCAGGAAGTAGTCACATGAGCCTCCCATCACAGGTGGCTCTCAGCCGGGGCCTCCCTGTACCTGAGAAGTAGAGCCAGCAGTGCGTCTTGGAGAGCCATGCCTATACAGAGGGTCCCAGCCGCATCTCCCAAAGCTCGACACCCGCCCCCTTGACTGCTCTTCGCAGCCCTGGGGTCCCAAACCTTAGGAGGGGCTGGAGGCTACAGGTGAGGAAGCTGCCAGACCCTGGGCAGCCTGGCCTGGCTGACAGAGGGACTGGCCGCCCTCTCATGCATCCTGAGAGGGGCTGACTGAGGCAGATCCCTGAGTCACAGCTTAGGTGAAATGAATGCAGCAGCAGGCCAGAGCCAGCTAGGGTGGCTGGCAAGGGCTACTAACTTTCTAGGAGTTTTTCACACTGTTTAATCCTCAGTGTCTGCTGGGTTTTACTTAGTTTTGTTTCGGTCATAGAATTCTGCTGCATGCCCAACACTTAGCGCTTCCAATGTTCTTGGCTACATGTGCTCAGGAGGGGCGACCCTGTCTCGGGGAGCCTGCTCACATCCGAATGTCGCTGTGGCATGTTCACATCATGGAACTGGCAGATGCCACACTCTCGGCTCCCCATGTCCCTGGGCTGCTGGAACATCTGCCCATACACCGATATGTTCAACCTCTTTCTGAGCTGGGGGACCCCGAGACACTGCTGCAGAGGACAATGCCCTTGAGGGACTCCTTGATGGCTCTTGGCAAGAGCATTGGTCCGAGCATGGTTCCCAAACTGCGCAGCATCCTCGCTAGTTCATGGTGGCCTCCATGTTGACCTGGAAGTTGCTCTCAGTGTGCTATCCAGAATGACACAAAGCACTGCCCAGACAGGAGGGCAAGGTGGCCCACCTTCCTTCCACAGGCTGCTGACCCCAGCACTGGCCGGTGCTGCTCCTGGTCTGCATATTCCCCTATGAGGTCATACACGCCTGGCTTTGCCTCTGGTCCTCCTGGCTGGTAGCCATGAGGCACAAGTCATGTTCCAGGTACAAGCTGAGCTCAGCCCCCGAGATGCCAATGGTGTAAATGGTTCCCTGTACTTATGACAGGAAGGAATGATACCTGTCACTGGGTGCAAAGTAGATTTGTTGGCAAAATTCTTTCACTGGGCTGCTGGGAAGGGAGCTGGTACGTCTTTTGTTGGACAGTTTCGGCTGGGAGGGCTGGACCAGGTCCTCTGGCGGCTCAGTGCGCAGCCTTCAGGGAGGTGGCTTCTGTGTCAGGCCCTGTGGGATCAGACCATCATCCACACCTCAGGTTTCTGAATGTACAGAACTCGCTCTCCAGGCCTCTGACAGCAGGTTTGTTTATGCCTCTCTTTCAGACCTGCTCCTTACTGTCCACGCCAAGTGCCCAGGTCCACCCCTGCCGCCCACGTGAAGTGACCAACAACCGCCGCTACAGTGAAGACAGAAGTTTGCACTATCTCAGCTCTGCCTGGAGTTATTTTGATACCAACCCTAGGACTCTTTTTTTTATGTTTCAAACAACAGTATCTTAAGCACTTTGAGCTACTGCTGTCGGTGCTGTGGTGCTCTGTACACTGGCTCAGGTACTTGTAAGTTATTAATTTATGCGGAGCTTCTATTACAGTGTGGTGTGCTATAGTGGGCATGTTTGCCATCCCTGAGTTTTCCATGGAAGGCAGGCTTGTTGTGCTTTTCATTTCATGAACTTGAACTAGTCCTGCTTGCTGGGACTCTGCCTAAGGTAGTGTTGCCCAGCAGACCCCCTGACGACCTGTGGCTGTACTTATGGTGCCTAACAACAACGTGAGCCCCCCAGGGTGACCCTTGTGTCATTTTTCTAAGACTATCTTGGGCCATAACTGGGAGGGCTTCAGATCCAGACTGCGATCAATTTTCAGGAAGCCCCCCAGAGATGGTGCTCTGAGGCTGGGGGACAGCAGGGAACCTGCTGGCTCCTGGTCAGAAATCTCTGGAGAGAATGTGGTCTGTAGACAGGAATTTTAAGACCTGGAGCAGTAGGGCAGGCGAGACTTGACCTCGAGTTGACCGACCGTGAATGCTTGCAGAGCAGACAGCTGTGCAGTTGTCGGCCGTTTCACCTGACAGAAATGCCTTGAACTTCTTTATCTGGCTACCCTGTCTGGGGGGACACTGGCCGCAGCCTGGTGTTCGGACTGACAAAGGTGCTATTGCTGGAAAACCTGCCTGAGCACCGGAGCCTCCCAGGCTGTGCTGTGTGTCTTCTCCACTCCGACACCAGCATGCTACATTCATTTGAGACTTTGAAGGACCACAACTGTGTTCAGTTGTGAACCACTAACTAGATCTAGTCGATCAACTCTGTGGGTCAAGAGTGCCTTTTCCTAAAAGGGTTAGCGGATCAAAGTTAGCTGGAACCCCTGTGCCTGCAGAATGTGCGGCCAGCCAAAAGGCTGAGTGCTGTCAGAGCCAACGTCTGCAACCCCATCGGGCTATTGGACAGAGAGCCCCAAGTTGGCATTCAGCTCACTTTGGGGGATCCTGTTTTCCCCACATAGATGCAGGAATATTTAAAAGACATTTTTAGCAAGGAATCAACCTACTCTTTAATCCCTCAAAAGCTACCTGTTGCATATCATGGAATATGATAAGAATCAATTTTCCAATCCTAAATGTGCATGAAATGCAACCTCCGGCAACAGAAACCATGCTTTTACTCTGGCTCAGACACCATTTTCATGAGATCTCTATGATGCCTGAATGTAATGACATCAAAAACAAAACGCTTAGCTCAGGTAGCCATGAAGCCTCTGACCGTGTTCTGGTCGGATCCTGTTCGTGGTTTCCTCCTTAGAAAGCACGGACAGCAGATCCATGGTTCACTGAGTGCCTCCCCATTCAGCCTGCGTTTGTGGCCACCTCAGTGGCTTTTCTGTGCCTAGAAGAAAGAAAAATATGCACCAAGAATCCTAGTTTGCCTTTTAGAAAACAATGGCCTTTTCCACTCTACATACACGTGACATTCATGACTCTAGATAAACTAAACATGCGCATGTCACACGAACACATATGGGCCTGCAACCCTACGGCATGCATCCATTTATTATACAACCACTTAAAAATGCAAAGCCATGTTAGAAAACATTACTGCTGGGGAGATACATGCAGACTTACTGTAACCGATACCACATTTGGTGATCATGTCTAGGCCAAACCATGTGCTGTTGAAGAGAGACAGGACATTGTGTTGCACTTGGGGGCAAGCATCACTGTCCCTCCCACTCCAACAACTGGGATGTGCACAATGGTTTCCTCGGCTGCAAGGCCTGTGCTGCTGGAGAGGAGGCTCAGCCACGATCTCAGGCCCTGGCAGCAACAGCCATGGAGGGGCTGGGGCTGACCCCGGGCCCTGGCAGCAACAGCCATGGAGGGGCTGGGGCTGACCCCGGGCCCTGGCGGCAACGGCCACGGAGGGGCTGGAGCTAACCCCGGGCCCTGCGGCAATGGCCATGGAGGGGCTGGGGCTGACCCTGGGCCCTGGTGGCAATGGCCATGGAGGGGCTGGAGCTAACCCCGGGCCCTGCGGCAATGGCCATGGAGGGGCTGGGGCTGACAGCTGATTTTCCTCCTCATTGCTGCCTTACAACACACAAGGGAAAATAGTAAAGCAATGCTTTCAAGATACAGTTCTTACCATGAGGCTTATTTAGCAATAATTCCCATTTCAGTGTCACTAAGCAGGGCTGTTGGGTGTTTTAATATGCATACAGATGATGGAAATAGAAACCAGCACTTACATTTCTAAAGTTTTATAGGAAAAAGGAATAGGGTGGGCTTGGGTTTTATAAGCCATCACTGGGAAAGCTCAGGCAGGGACCACTGTGTTTCCTGCGTCCTTTAAGTCCTAGCCTGGTGACCCCTTTCCTCCCAGGGGTCATGGCTCATCTATCACCCAGGCATCCCATTTCAAACTTTACCTCCTGAAATCTTAACAGCTTGTTTTCCTGCCATGTGGAATCAGACGTGTAGCCACCAAGAGAAACAATGCATAACATTTTCCATTGTCAAACGGGCACGCAGAGTGAACACTTCCCAGTGGGAATGTTCCAGCTCCAACATGTGGGATGACATCACAGAAACCACAAAAGCAACAAACTGAACTGCACGAGAACGCACCCCTGGATTGGTCTCACAGGGGACATTTCATGCCTCCTGGACTTTACTAGGAATTCTCAGGCTACAACTTCTAGGTCATTGTGCTCTGACAAACCAACACAACACACCAAGGCCACCTCCAACAGGAAAACTGCCAAGCGCCAGGTCTGTGGCACAATGCTCGTAGGAGGCTGTGGTTCACCCACGGTGCTAAGAGGAGCCTGGTCCTGGACAAAGGAAACGCCCAAGCATCCTCCTGTTCCTGAACTGCTTACCAAGCAATCTGAGCCACGGAGACCTGGCAGCCGAGCAGCCAGATCTCTGCAGTGCACCTTGACCTCAGGCAGCATTCCTGCAGGAGATGCATTTCAACCTTGACTCCCAGGAGCAGGAAGCCCTGGGCAAGCTTGGTCTACGGAGCCTTCCCCTTCCTCTCAACTATCCCAGCCACACACAAGCAACACAGACTGACGCCACTTAGCCTGCCAACAGAGGCAGGCCAGAGGTATGACTCTCAGGCTGTCGGGAACATGGCTGGTGCCTGCTTTCCTGCTCTGCTGCCACATCCTCTGCCCAGAATTCGGCAGCACACCTGCACTCGCCTTTCAGCCTAGTCCCGCATCCCAGGGACCAGGGAGTGCTGTGCCTCGCCCAACTCCAAGGGTTAAACCTCCACTTGTGTCACTACTTCAGGTCAGCCAGGGTGGGGACCGCTGCAGTGTGTGGCTGTCCCCCACGCCCCCCAGCTGGGTCCAGCAGAATTATCCACAGGCATATGGAACATAAGTGACCTCCCACACCCTTGTGCCTTGCTCCAATTAGAAAGGGAAGCCTGGCATAGAAAACCAGCTTAGCCATGATCGCCAAATTCACTAGACTCGCCCTCAAGTCCCTGTGAGAATCCAGTGCCTTTACAATTTGAAACGAACATGCTAAGAAAACTGTGCAAGTTCTGTGTGGGGAACTGGTTCTGTATGGTGAAAACTGGCCATTGCTCTCCCACCTCCTTTTGTAGACAAAAGCCCTCTTTGCCTCTGGGACAGCAACAGCAGCTGTCAGTGCAGCCCCTGCAAGCCTGCGTCCTAGGAGAAAGGCTATCGACAGACAGAATGGCATAAGCAATCATTACAGCACTACAGCAACAGTGACATGAAAGTAATTCACAACTTAAAGTCGTTGAGCAACTCCGGGTTGAATGCCCTTCAACCCATCCTGATTCTCCACATTGTTAAAGTCTGCGTCCAACAGGTCCTGCGGCCTATGACATTAGCACGTTTTAAATTCAGAAAAATATCATGTGACCATTTTAGTCTAAAAAAAAAGTGAAGTATGAGGATGGTTATGAGCAGTTACCTCCATAGAGCAATGATGAGACAGAAAGATACAAAACTTTAAAGATCAACCCCCTAGCAGTCCACAGCAGGCCAAGCAATGGTGGGACTGGTTACCAGTCCTCCTGGCCCTCCATCAGGGCACACGGGGAGGTGGTTGGCAGGCCTGTTTGGCTCCAGGCTGCTTAGCACAGTACAGATTAATGTTACAGCAGTCATTTTATGGTGCTTCGTTCATGTATCATGCTTTGGTTTGCTGATTTTCCCCACGTACCCATGTATGTTACAGTCTCTTGTGTGTACATCTCATATCCGGGGATCTACAGATCACAACCTGCTATCTCAGTAGAAAAGGACATTGATAAGGATATTGTAACCAATAAATGGTAGACAGATGAGCACAAGGACGTGTCTCATTTGTTCCTGGGAACCTTGAGTTTTTCTATGCGCCCTTCTTTTGTAGCTGTTGTCTCACTTTCATTTGCAGATGCGAAGGAAACTCTGAACAAGTACACAGCAAACCCCAGCAGAGTGGTCTACGGGGTGGGGCACGAGGGCATGCTGCCTGCCTGCCACCACCCTGGGGTGCTAGCACGGGGACGACCCGATGGCTTTGGAGAAACGTTTACACAATGACTATTCCAAGCAGCCTGTTGGACTCACCTTACTGATGTAACAGATGGCAGTATCTGATGAGTTTATGTCATATCCCTGGAATAAAAATGTAACAGATTTATAGCGACAGAGGCTTTAAAAATAGCAACAATTTTAATAAAGAATGAACTTCATAAAAATTAAAGAAAAATATATATGTACATTCAGAATTACAAAGAGTTGGGGCTGGTGAGTGGTGTGGCATGCTAATTCTCCTCCTGCAGTGCTGGCACCCCATATGGGCACCAGTTTGAGTCCCAGCTGCTCCACTTCCTGTCTAGCTCCCTTCTGATGACTGGGAAAGCAGGCAGAGGACAGCCAAGTCCTTGGGCCCCTGCACCCACATGGGAGACCAGAAGAAGCTCCTGGCTTTGGATCGGCCCAGCTCTGGCTGTTGTGGCCATTTGTGGAGTAATCCAGCAGAAAACAATGCGCCATTGTGCACTCACGCTCGCTCTCTGATTTTGAAACAAAACCAATCTTAGTAAATAATGAAGCCGTCTTTACTTCTGTTGCTCTCCACATATGACCAAATGGACAAAAATCTGGGACACAGAGGTCATATAGAGCCGGTGCAGCACTGTCCGCTGGAATTCTCCACACATGTAC